TTCCCCTTCAAGGCTGAGCTTTGTCGTTACCCCATTGGAACACAGGCCTCAGCCAACTGGAACAAAATATGGAGATGTGTTAGTGGACACACCTGGCGCATTATTGACCTTTGTGACCCTGGGCGTAGTTGGCATAGATCAGGATAAAATGAAAAAGAACAAAACTCAAACTGAAAATACAGCTTGTGATTTATTCCATCATATGATATTTAATCAAATAATACATTTCAATGCAAGTTGATATTTTTATTGTGTAGAAAACACAATACATGCAGTAAACACTATTACTGCATTCCTGACATGGGTCAGACCTTCAGTCCTATGGCATTAATAAATCATTGAAAACATAAACTGAATAAATGCACCAAATTAAAAAGACTATGATTACCTATTGATTATATAATATGAGAAGAGGAGATTGTAAATCCACATTTTTATAGTACTGATTGGTCCATTAACTGTACCCAAAAGTTATCTATCAGTACTCACAAATTCTTTAACCGTAAAATCAATTTTGCAATTCAGAAAATATTACTGTTCGAAAGTTTCTGGTCAGTAAGATTAGAATAGAAATTACTACTTTTATTCAGCAAGGGTGCATTAAATTGACATACTTTTACATAATTGAAAAGAAAAATAAATAACTCAAATACATACATGCATACATACATGTTGTTTTATTTTACATCTCTATTCATCCATGAATCCTGGAAAAAAAAGTAGTAAGCAATACAACTGTTTTTAACTTTCACAATTGTAAGAAATGTTAACCAAATTAGCATATTTGAATTCGAGCCCTGCACGGGCCTCAAATTTAGGCCCTGGCCCGAGACGCTCAGGCCCTAGCCCGGCCCGTGTCCGACAGCTTATCAGAATTACCGGCCCGAGCCCGTCTTTTTTTCCCCTTCTCCCAAAACAGCTTATACTGTTTCAGCTATTAAAATAGTTCAGTTTTGTATGTAATAGCAAAGTGATTATATTTCGTTTCGTTTTTTTATGAAGTTAATTTAAAAAAACGTTTGGAGCTTTTTTTGTTCGCTAAATATAAGTTTTTGTTTTTTTTAAAGTAACGACCAAGCGGCCAGCGGCAGACAGTGAGCCTACTGTATGTTTGATCAATTTAGCCTTCTCAACGGCCCGAGGGCATAAAAAAGTCGCTGAAATGCAGGGCTCTAATTTGAATGATCTCTGGAGGATCATGTGACACTGTACTTTGCCATTACAGGCATACGATACATTTTAAAATATATTTAAATTTAAAATTAAAATATATTTTACTGAATTCATTAATTCCATTAATTACAAGTGTTCAACTGATTAACGTAGCGTTTTAACCTGTCTGTGGCTTGTGTAATTCATAAAGTGCCAATATGTCAGTGGAGAACGCTGGGAAATATATTTTTGCAGCAGGCAGTACAGTTGATGTGTTGTTGACTCTGGTCTGTATGTTTACAGACATCTGCTCTTTTCCTTTGCAATGCCTTCAGACAGATGGTGCGATGGTGACTTCACGGTGGAACTGTGGTCACGGAGTCACACACCTTCTGTTTTTGTGAATTTATGTATGCACGCATGCATGTGTGTGTGAACCTTCTTATTCTCACAGCAATAATACATGCTATTCAGTTCATTTAGCAGTGTCAGACTTCATCGAGTCACTTCTGGAAAATGTGACAATAAATATAAACCAAGGAGATGTGTGTCTTGGGGTATCTATTGTAGTAATGTAGTGTGTGTATCGTGAACTTAAGGATGATTGTTCCAAAAAAACAAAAAAAATGTGTATATATATATATATATATATATTTAGATGCACTTAAAAATATTAATGTCATTGTATACAGTTGAAAAGAGAAGTTAGTTTTGAGAAATCATTTGTTTGCAGATGCCACTTTCTTAGATTTTTTTTTTGTTGTAATTTTTGCTATGAGGTTTAAAGGTCACACAGGTGTCACAGTAACCACAGATGTATTTCACATTAACTGTGGATGTGTTCCACTAACGTTTGACAGAAACAAACAAACAAAAAAATCTACATTTTTTGAAAATGTAATCTTTCTTTAAAAATACTTTGAAAATTTATTTTTACCTTATGAAGCCTACTGTATCATATTTGATACACAAATTTATAAGGCCTCTAAACTATCAACATGATCGAAATATTGCTGAAAAACCTGTTTTACACAGTCTACTACATGTCCTGTGTCATCTGATTGATAGTTTATACTTTTTTAGCAATTAAAAGGCCCTCAGGTTGTGGTACACATGTCTTTTTGCTGTGGAATCTTTAGTGATAACAATACAAACATAACAATAGCTTTTATATTGTTATCAACATTAACTGGACTGAAGTAACTTTACAACTGATATTTATATGGGATTTATGTAAGAAGTCTGCTATACTGTTATAAAGATCTCAGTGATTTGCCTTACAAGCTATCGGAATCAGTTACATTATTTCTTTTTTTTTAGTTCAAGTTTATTTTGTATTTTATTTTATATGGAGGTATTTTATATCAGTTACATTATTTCTATATAATTTAAAATGTTTATATATTGTATATTATTTTTTTTTTATATTATCTTGTCACATAAATAATATAAATATCAACAGCTGTTTGAGCCTCTGATTAAAATTTAGTTGTTTTTTTCATCCTCGATGAGCTCCATATTCTCACTAAATAATAGTATGTAAGCCATAATAGCTTAGTATTTATTGTTGTCTAAAGGTTCAATAAACACTTCAATTTCAAAACGATTTTTCTGACTGTCATTTAATATGTCAGGCTTCACAGGGTTAATGTTATTTACTGCAATGACATTTTTAAATGTCACTCAAGTGTCCAGAGTGGGGGCTACTGTATACAAGGCTGCTGCTAATACCATAAACAAGTCATTTATTTGCAACTCCACTGTTGACCACAGGAGGTGCTGTTGGCTTGTTTTATGCGTTCGTCTTCTGGTCTGCTCCTCTTTACGGGTCCTTGTTGTGTGATGAGTGAAAGTGCTGTTAAGGGACTCTCACAACTGGAGAGATTAACACTGCCTTATTACAACCCCAACACACACACACTTTAAAAGCCTCGTGAGTACTTTTGTTCCTGAGCATAAGGCTGTTATGTGAAAGCACAATGAGTTTGTCCACCATTTGGAGGTCATTCAGACCGAAACTCTACAGACTTGTACGTTTCTTTCCCTACCTCGGGAATCATACTCCATCTTGGCTTCCTCTCCTCTGTGACCTGTCAGACAGCAGACAGTGATGATCGTCTAGGACGAGCGTAGACGACCAGTGGCGTTTTAGACCGCACTAATGCAGGGGCCAGCACTGCAAATATTCCCAGCAGCCCACTGGTCCTGTCAGCCAGAGCTCGCTGTACTCTTTAAGGTTAGACCCATGTTGCCAAGGAGACGGAGCAGCACTGTGTGTGTGTAGTTCTGTGATACCCTTCCTCTGCTCGACCTGTGACTTGCCTGTCAAAGCTGTGGTTAGACTCATTCACAGTGGATACTAAATAATTCTACACTTGCGTTGGACTTTGCTTCAGGAAAATGATTCTGATGTTCAGTGGGGAAAGATTTGTGTGTTTGATATGGTAAATAATTGCCTGTTTTCGTACATTGTCATATTAATCTGTGCAAACATGCTATCAAACAGGTTATCAAATTCAAATTGGAGGTTTCTTTCATTTAAATGTACCAGGCTTATCTTTTACTCAAACTGAAAAACTTCAACTTGAAACCATTAAAAATATGTATGTTGACTGGGGAGGAAGAAAGAAATGGAAAGAAAAATGGATTTGTGTAGCAAGTGCACTTTGCTGTTTTTTCTGCATCTTATGTCGAGCGCTGTGTTTTTAAAGTCCCCATGAAATCAAAATTAAAGTTTTTTTTTGGGTGTTAGTATCAATATGTTAGTCTTAAGGTTATCTATAAGGCAGTGTGCTCCAAAACAGTGACAAAATTCGCATTTTGAATATGTAAGAATTCAAAGATTGCAGTTCGTCACTTCCGCCAAAACAGCTCAACGATTTTTTTTTGACGTCACATCGTACTTCAGCTTCTCATCAAACTTTCTGTCCAATCAAATGCTCTCTAGAAGCCCCCTACACTATAAAATAGACGCTGAAGCCGCGGCTGAAATCGTTCACTTGTCCACAGAATTAGTATTTTCTGTACAGTGAATGGCACGTAGTGCACTATATAGGGGACAGGGAACGATTCAAACAGTGTAACTATGCTTTCCATTGAGGAAAAAAAGTCGTCTGGTTTCGCGCTGTGTCACGCTAACCATCGCACCGCACACACACTCTGCTCCGGTCTAGAGACACGATAGCACTATGCGGATCACATGCGCGAGTCGGCGCAGACCACAAAATGTATCGGAGCTATTTGAATTCTACACAGAATGCTATATTTTATAGCAATATGGATGAGATTGTGGCTGGCATACCCTGTCAAATGCGGCTTTACGGAGCTCAACGGCTCTGAACGGCTCTAGCGCAAGCTGTGATATAAACGAACGCTATTGGCTATTTTAAAAAGGGGCGGTGCTGCTTGATATGTCCCGCCCTGTCTTCCTGTTTCAGTTAAAATGATGTCAACACATAGAGTAACGCTGCGTGTTTCTAAGCATTTCAGGGGACCTTTAAGATTTTTTTTGGCACTGCAAATCAGCCCCTTGGGAATGTTCAGTTATCCTGAACGACATTTCTGTGTGACATCTACCAGAAACTGCTGTGCGTGTTTGTGTGTGTTTTAAGCTCTTTTAAAACTGTTTTTTTTTTTTTTATGTAAGAATGCATTCTGCATATATGGTCCCAAAACTTGTAGAATTCGAACCGTCTCTTTCTTTGAAGATTTCCATATGTAGGATGAATCTTTCTATACTCTTGTCTCTTTTACTGTCTCTTCTTCCATTTTTCTCCCTCTTTGTCTTTCACTTGTATTCTCTTTCTCTGTCTCATTGTTATTTCCTTTTGTCTTTTGGCTCTTTGCAGAGGAAGAGGTGGAAAATTTCAATGTTTCCAGCTTGCAGGAAGAGGTGTTACGGAACATCGAGGCTGACAGCTTCTGGTGCATGAGCAAGCTCCTGGACGGGATTCAGGTAAATTGATTCCCTATCTGCCAGCGTGCGGGCCTGATACATTCACTCTGTTTGTGTGTGTGTGAGAGAGAGAGAATGTGTCGCGGCGAGATTCCCCTGCGTGTATGTGCCCCGTCCCGTTTCCTCTCCTTGCCTTTCCTCGCTCAGGCCTGTCCAGGAATAAAATCCATGATGAATATTCTCACTCTGCACCACAGGCAGGACACAACCTCCTTATCCAAAGGGCCTAGCGGTGCTCAAATTGTCATGGGAAAGCAAAGCGACCCCCCGCCCCACATTCACTTTGTCTTGCCTGCCTCGTCTCTAATTGATTTAAGGCCATAAAACACCCGTGCTGTTTATGCAGCAGAGACGGGGACACACATTGCGGTATAAAGCTAGGTGTTTGCAGTCCTCATCCCTATATTTTCACAGTGCTCTCCCCCGGAAGACCGCAAAAGATTCCCGTGCGGCCTGGTCTGTCGCTTTTTTCCCTCCTTGTTGATAAAAGACTCTGTAATTGGGTGTTTCTGCAACTGTGGGCACTTTTGGCCCTGTGGACTTCGAAATTAAACTCCCTTCCAACACATTTTTCACTTAACTGGTTAATTTGTTTTGCATACTAACAGTGTCCAACAGTAGGAGAAGAGGAGAATTGGTTGTTTTTGTCCTTTTTATGGAAACAGTTTAGCAAATATAATTTCCACATTTTTGAGCACTGAAACTCTCTTGTCTTGCTAAGGCTGATTTCAGAATTCTAGAATTTGATTGTTTTGTTCCAAATCTTAGTGGCCTGCATCCGTAGGCAGCATTTTAAAGCACCATTGACAGACTATCAACATAAAGCCTGTTCCAAATGGTAGGAAACATAATTACGCTGCCTCCTAATATGCCTCATTTTTGCTAAATTCTAACATGACTTTGGTGGAGAAGCCAATCCCTCAATGCATTGTAGTGAGCTTAGTGGGGAGACAAAAAATCCATTATTTCACAATTATTTATTTTACATAAATATACTTTAAATTCTGAAAAGTATTGGTAACATTTAAAGTAATGAAATACCTTTTGTTGTTGTTGTTTTTACCTAAAATGTGTGTTATGTATTGTTTATATGCATTGTTTATCTTACGTTGTCTATTTTGTATACTGTGCATTTGCTGCTTTTTTAAAGTGTTCCAAATTGGTCACTTATGAGTTACCTTTCAGTTAAGGATGCTATCTTAAGGCTCCAATATACTTCAAGTGAAATCAAAAAATGAACCAAAATGAGTTGAAAAATATCGGCACACTAGATATCGGCAAAAATCCAATATTGTGCATCCCTACTGCCATCAGCATTCAAGATCGCAGATACCTGCACTGCAAGATCAAGAAAACGAGCACCAGGAAGCAGTGAGTGTACATCCTATCTTTAGCTGAGGTATCGCATATGTGCCTGACAATGGAGTCTCCGATAATCACAGCGCCTCATTCTGTCTCATCTTCGGGGGCGAAGCAGTTTCGGGTGGAGATCTCAAAGGCCTGAAGATTTTAACATTTGAAAATTGAAAGTCAGGGCCTGGGAAAAGTAGCAAAAAAAAAAAAGGCTAATGAAGGTAAAAAATATATATATATTCTGAAGACAGTCTTAATATGACCTTCATATAACAAAAGTGAGGGAAAAAAAGGAAACTTGTTAGGCTGCAGTTACACTGGCACAAAAAATCAGATTTTTTGCTCACATCTGAGACAGATCGGAATTTGTTGCACACATATAAACTCAAAAATTCACACGAGATTCGAATTTTTCACATCCGAACTAAGCCGCTTCCAAATGTGGATTTTAATCGGATACATATCCGATATGTGGACATCCGACCTATGTCTAAACACACATATCCGAATCCCCGCAGAACTCCCAATGCGAAGGCGACACGTTTGCCAGACGTGTATGCGCTCACATTTTATTTAGATGGAAACTTTATGTAGGCTAGGTAAGAAATTGCACATTCAGGAGCTGGTTTTCAAACCCTGACCCGTGAATTTTATAAATACAACAGCTTCGCTAAAGCTACATTATATTTCTTAGCAATGACTTGATAACTTTCACTTGTTCACAAGCTTCATGCTCTCTCTCTCTCTCTCTCTCTCTTTCTCTCTTGTTAATTCTTTCGAATTCATTTAAATAAATGTCATCTTGGCGCTACTTTATTTCAATAAAGAATTCCACCTCTAACGAGCTGTAGATAAAATAGCCTAACAAATGAAAATTTCCGTTATTTATCTGTTCAGTCAGATTTTGTGCTGCAAGACAGCCGTTGTCCATGCTGGCAAATAATAATGGCCACTCGACGTGAATTATATAAATAATTTTAATAGCACGGCCATTCAAAACCCGAGGGTCTACCATGTGTATAGTAAAGCGATCATTGACTACCATTTTGGGCAGGAATTATGTAAACACAGATATCGGATACCAGTCGTGTCTAAAGTGAATGTAAACAGACGGGCCAAAAAAATCGGATATGGACAAAAGATCGGATCTTGCAGTGTAAATGCGGCCTTAGTTTTCATAAAATTCAACCCTTGAGACACAAAGGGCCCACAGTTGAAGAAACACCCAATTACAGCGACGTGTTTGAAGTGCGTATAGACAGAAATGTACTCCCACGCACTGGCTTTAGACGATTGTCTCTTCACACATAAAAAAGCATTTGCATGCAGCGGATCAACCCTCCTCACTGGTATTAGATTGAAATGCTCTCCAGGCCCTCCAAAGCTTTTGTGGTATTTTATCTCTAATTACTGCGGTAATTTGTGTGTACAAAGCAAATTCTCTTAGGTGCTAATGATTTTCTCCACCCTTTGTTTTCCTTACACCTTCACACCATGGCAGCTGATAGCTCTGAACACTTGCTCGCAAGTTGTTAGCGTCGGCAGCGCCATGCTCTCTGCGTGTGCGTGTTGGTGTTTTTGAGTGGTTGTTAACTCAGTGTAGTTTTAGCGTGATTTTATAGTCTCAGCCGTGCATAATTGTGTTCGGGTCTCAGGAGAGCGCTTGCGTTTAGAAGCGTAGGGTAGAAAAAGTTGTTAATTACAAGTATTGTATTTCCCTCCTGTGTTTGACAATAGAGAGTGATATCGTTGCTATTGTAATGTATAATTATTTTTCAGATGGCACTTTATGATGTATATTAAGGAGTAGGTTTTTGTTTATACATTTCTGTGGCATATTGATGATAACCACAGATAATAGTTTCTCAGTTTGTAAAAACAAACACGGATTGCATTTACTGTAATGCATTTCCAAATGTGGCTAGTAGGTGTTCTTCTGTGCGCAAGTACTCGAGCTGTGAAGTTGTATGATTAGGAGTTTTAGTGGTTTAGGGATTATTGTTCTAATCTGATAAAGTTTTGGTTTTGCAGTTATTCCTGTTATAGCGGTCCTTGTGATTTTAGTGCACTAGTATCATGTTAACACAATGTTTTATTGATTTTAGTATTGTGGCTGTACTCTCAAAATGTATGTAACTTTTTTTCATGCGTAACATCCCATATTTACGGTGCCTGTAAAGGTGACATGTTCGGTTCACTTAGTTTAATGCGTGAACAAACCTGCATGACCATAGCAACCCAGGATTATCAAAAATAGATAAAACATTGTTATTAACATTAAACATTTAATTTAATATTTGTATATTATTATTATTATTACATTCACTTATTAGGGCTATATTTTTATATGTATTGTTATATATGCTTATTTCCCCTTTCAATTTGTGTATCGCTTTACCTAGTTAACGTTTTGTATAATTATGCTAGTATTTGCTAGCCTACCATATATTTTGTAAATAAACGCCTGACAATTATGCCAATAAAGTTTTGACTTTATGATTGTATTTATGCCGATGAGTGATGATAAATGAGCGTGTTGTGTTTTCATTTACAAATGAAACTACGTGAATGATTAATTCCTCAACGAAACACTATAGTATTTATAATTATGGTCTATTAATTAGCCGAAATAAAATGAAATAT